CCTACCTCAAAACAAGATTCCATGGAAAATCCTTCTTCCCCCACAAAACACAAAGTGATCACTTGATGCTCCCTGTTTGCTAGTACGGACCATCACATTTCTGTATCATCTGGCTTGTTCAAAGTCCCTGTTGATAGGGTTCAGATCCAGGCAGCCCCAGACCCAGAAACCATAAGGCCCCTAAGAGGAACTGAGTCAACCAAATCCCAGCCACCCTCAAGTTAACAAAAGCAGCTCTGGGAAATTAATGACCAATGTATTGTGATCACCAGAGCATGCTCCACAGGCTGACAAACTGGTTTCCCAAGCCCTTAGCTGCAGTGGGTTCCTGGAACCCTGTAATTGTAGAAAACATGTTTTACAGTAGATGTTTTCCCCCATAAGTTTCAGCAGGTACAGACCCCATGCTCTCCCTGAGCAAGCAGCCCCCAAACAGTCCCAAACGGCAGAAAAATATTCTCTTTTTCCGCATTCTGTCCCTTTAAAAGCTGCCCCTCTGTGGCCATTAGGCTGCTGGCTCTTCCTCACACCGAGGTGAGGACCAGCCCTGCCAGACCCATTAAACTCTCGCTTTGCCAGAGTCCTCTTTGTTTCTGTTTCACAGCAATCCCGACCCCTGCCACCTTCTCATCTAACATATAGTGCTGTGACTCGGATCACCTATTTGGGTATGGTGGTGAGGACTCTGGCCTGACCAACTGCCATATACTGGCTCCTGCGCTCACCATCCATTCAGTCACCAGGTTCTCTCTCTCTCTCTCTCTCTCTCTCTCTCTCTGCCCCCTTCCTCCACCCTCTGCTGCCACCCTCTCTCTCCCTGCCATTTTGCACTTTCCTTTTTAATCATGACCATCAGCCCCATCTCATCCATAACCATCACTGTGGAGGAGCCCAGGGTAGTGACTGTAGTAGCTGGTAAGTCTATTCATGGTCTGTCCTTCCCTCCTACTCTGGTAAGGTTTTTCCCTCACAGATCTCCATGGTGGGGGTAGATGCAAGACCCCGTTTCCCTAAAACAAAGGGTACCCTTGTGAACCTGTAGAGCCCCTGGGACCAATCACAGCAGCTTCCATGCCATCAGGAAGGCCCTCATAGAGGCACTGGCTTTAGCCCTCCCTGACCTAGGATCCCCATTTCTCTTATATGTAACTGAATATAAGGGACTGGCTCTGGGGGTCCTTGGACAAATGAAATGAAGGGACACACCTTTGCCCCTGTGGCCTATCTCTCAAAACAACTAGACCCCACCGTCAAGGGAGGGTAGCCTTGTCTCCGTGCCCTGGCAGCTGCAACCCTCCTAGCTCAGGAAGATCTTAAACTCACCCTGGGTCAGCCTGTTTCTGTTCTTTTCCCCCACCGTCTTAAGGACCTCCTCACCCACTCCTCTCAGTATTCTCACTCCATCTAAGCTTCAACTCTTTCATGTCACCTTCCTTGAAAATCCCTCAGTCACTTCAGACTCCTGCCCTCCCCAAACCCTGCCTAGCTCCTCCCCCTGCCACACCCCTCACTCATTCATGTCTGCAGACCCCCCCAGGAACTCACCTGTCAGGAACCCTTGGTTTCTCTGAGCCCCTACCTGACTCAGCTCTAACCTGGATTGTGGATGGCAGCTCAACCCTGACCCCTACTGGATCCCACAGGGTAAGGTATGCTATGGTCTCCATCGCAGGCATTACTGCCCCCTGGCACCACCTCACAGAGGGAAGAACTCATAGCACTCACCAGAGCCTTAACATTGGCCAAAAATAAAAAACCAATATTTTCACAGATTATAAATATGCCTTCCATATACTTCATCATCATGCTTCTATCTGGAAAGAAAGAGGTCTGCTTACCACAAAGGGGACCCCCATTATTAATGGTCCACTAATCCTCAAATTATTGGAGGCATCTTATCTTCCTTCCATGGCAGCTGTAGTCCATTGTACGGGCGCCAACCTCTCACTGATCCTCTTGCCAGAGGCGATGACCTGGCCAACCAAGCAGCTAGGGAGGCCAGCAAACGCCAGTATCATGCTGCTGACCTGTCTTTCTTAGCTCCATCAGGGTTCGTGCCTTCCTACACCCCTCAAAAGCATAAATCTCTTTCAGAGAAAAGGGGCCACCCCAACCTCAGGAGGACGGGTGATTCTTGGGGACAGGTATTGCCAACCAGAAGACCAGGCCTCGTCCGTCCTGACTCACCTACATAACGTCTTTTATATTGGGACTCGTTCACTTTATAAATTTCTTGAACCTCTCATTTTTCACCCTAAAAGCCTTCCTCTTCTCACAGAAGTCACCTGCTCCTGCCCCATTGGTGCCACTGTTTCCCCTCAGGGTGGGGGCACCTACCTCCCTCCTTTAAACACCACCAACATAGAGGATCTCTCCCCGGGGTTGATTAGCAACTAGACTTTACTCATATGCCGGCTTTCAAAAAGTTCAGTACCTACTAGACTTAGTAGATACCTTCTCAGGATGGATAGAGGCTTTTCCCACTACAGGGGACACAGCAGCCCTTTGAGCTTATGTATGGCAGGCCTTTCCTCCTGAGCAATCTGCCAAAGTCATCTGCCACTCCAACAACCCTCTCTCCTCCATGACTACTTACCAGCTTTAACCAACTGTTCCTTACTTTTCCCCCAGCCAGATATAAAAAACTGCCAACATGATGGACGGAGAATGCTCTAACACCAACAGATACCAGGAAACAACAGCCTGAGAGGATCCCCTCCAGATCCAGCTGTATCAAACCCCCTTCCCCTTTTGTCATCGGCCTTACCCAGCAGGAAGTAGCCAGATGAGAAACATTGTCCTTAATCCTATAACATAAAAGGCTGGAATGATAGGGCTTAGATCCAGGGGACCCCAAACCCAGAAACCATGAGGCTCCTAAGAGGAGCTGAGTCAACCAACTCCCAGCCACCTGCAAGTTAACAAAAGCAGCCCCTGGGAAATTAATGACCAATGTATTGTGATCCCCAGAGCATGCTCCACAGGCTGACAAACAGGTTTCCCAAGCCCTTAGCTGCAGTGGGTTCCTGGAACCCTGTAATTGTAGAAAACATGTTTTACAGTAGATGTTTTCCCCCATAAGTTTCAGCAGGTACAGATCCCATGCTCTCCCTGAGCAAGCAGCCCCCAAACAGTCCCAAACGGCAGAAAAATATTCTCTTTTTCTGCATTCTGTCCCTTTAAAAGCTGCCCCTCTGTGGCCATTAGGCTGCTGGTTCTTCCTCACACCGAGGTGAGGACCAGCCCTGCCAGACCCATTAAACTCTCGCTTTGCCAGAGTCCTCTTTGTTTCTGTTTCGTGGTGATCCCGACCCCTGCAACCTTTTTATCTAACACACGTGATGAAATGTTATTAAGAAAATAAGTGCTGATGACTTTCCTAAAGGGACTGGCAGAATTGTGGGCAGAAGTTTTGGGGTTCTTTTTCAATCTTAAGCCTATCACATGATAAGATGTTGCCACCAGAAAGTGTGCTTTCGCTCTGAAGCTATTGGGTGACCTCTGGTCTTAATCCACTTTCTTTTCTTGTGTTGACACATCCTGTCACTGCTAAGCCCAGCCCTGCATTACAGCAGCCTCTGAATGACAAAGCAAGTGAATTCAGAAAAAAAAGTCACTTATTTCCTTCTAACCTTACAGCCTCACTTCAGTTTCCATCCTGAGAACACTCTTACGGCGCACACACAAAAGAATTACGATGATTACAATGACTCTGACAGCTTATAAAGGTACCTTAAAAAGTGAAAACAGGCACAAGAAAATAATTGAACTTGTGCTGAGAAGGCTGTTGACAAAGTCCAGAAAACAAAGTCATGTAAGAAAGATTTGACTTAACTGTAGCTGGGCATGAAGGGAAATTAAATAATAAATAAAAATAATTAAATAAGTAAATAAATAATTAAATAAATAAATAAATAATAAAGCCTTTGTTACCAGAACTTGTCGCTGGTTCAGGTAAGGAGGAAACAGGGTGCTGTGTACAAATGTATATCTGTCAGTGGCATTATTAAGGTCCTGTTTATTATACACTTTTTTTCAGGTAAAACACCTTTTAGTAATGCCACCGCTGCAAAACCTAGATAGATGCTACAGCAGCAAACCACAGAACAAAGGGCAATCCTCAATTTATAGACTAGAGAGGAGAGGTCTTAGGGTACAGAGGGGAGAGGACTCTGAGTTAAGTGGGGAGGGGGTCTCTGAGTTTAGGGGAGAGAGAGATCTCTGTGTTCAGAGGGGAGGGGTCTCTGTGTTCAGAGGGGAGGGTTCTCTGAGTTTAGTAGATTAGTAGAGGTATGAGAGAGAAAGTAAGGCTGCAATTTAGGAAGGTAACCCTGTTGTTCCACCCAGCTTGGGGCTGCTACAGGCTGGGCTCAGTACCAAGGGAAGGTTTTACATTGTACACTCTGCTCATTCCCTACCTAGGGGAGGCCTCTGAGTTCTAGAAGTCAAGTGTTTTTGCTTATACAGAAAGAAGGAAGGAAGGGAGACAGGAAAGGAGGGAGGGAGGGAGGGAGGAGAGGGGAGGGAAGGTACCACTTCATGGCCCTGTCAGAAGGTGGTAGAGAACAAGTGGTTTATGGGAAAGTTCTGGCTGCTTTCAGGGTCTTATTTATTAAATTAGAAAAGAAACGTAGATTTAAGACTTGAACTTGGAGACAATCACTTAAGAGCAACAATTAATTTGAACTTTGCATTCTCCCTGAAACACCTGTTACAATTCAGTTTAGCATGGTCCAACCAAAGTAACAGATTCATCCAGTTTACAGCAAAGGTACTCACAAGACGACATCAACTCATGATCAAGCAATTTGCCTTTCCTTTCCCCTGGGAGGAGCCTGGCTCCTACAGTGTTACCTAGCCAGGTGGGCACCAAAGTTGACCCAGGCATTCTGAACACTGTGGAACAAAGGATACGATCACAGAAATAGTAACACATGACCCCAAGCCTTTAGGGCTTTCGGGGCCAGCTTTGTCAGGTACAAATCGACAGGTGCACTTACCGCATTAAAATTGGGGAAGAGGTTGACTGCCGCGGCCGCAGTGTCCAGTGCAAAGGGCAGAAAGGGCTTAATATCCAAGGATGGTTGCAGAGGAGGGGCTGGTGGGCGGACCAGGGCTGGGAGGGCAGGACTCTGGCAGGTTCCACCTGTAGAGAACAGAGCAAAGGCCATGATCAGGGACATCATGCATGGATAAAACCACCATGATCTTTCGAAACTAATTTGTCTTAATGCCAGCTTTGTGGGTCACGGGAAGAAACAAGACATGGTGTCTATTCAAGTCAACTAGGGCTTGGCCTTTCAGAAGCTTTGCCCCCTGCAGGCACAGATAGCCGAGATGCTCTTTCCCTGAGGTTGTAACTATCTGGTTATGTAAGGATCAGGCAATATTTCACAGTCCATCCCTCGCTTTTCTTTTGGTGTCTGGGGCTTGGGAGCGCAGGATGGACTCAGCAAGGAATCTGTGGCCCCAAATCTCTAGACTCCAAAGGAAAATGTCTAACTGCCCCAGACACCCTGGTACTCACCCATCCCTTTTTGAAACTGACTACTGAGATTGTTTCAAATCTGACTGGGTATTTTGCAGAACTGCTCTTTTCCACCAATTCAAAACTCTGGCAGAGAGATCACATGAATCTGGCACATAATAGAACTGGCAGCAGTCCCTCACAAGAGGACTCAGACCCAGCAAACCCAGCTCTAGGAGCCCAACAACCTGGAGCTGTTCAGCACCCCAGAGCTTTGACAAAACAACAACTGCCTGCCTCCACCTCAGTCACGAGTAAAGGTAGGAGGGACTGCAATAGGCACCTATGAGCACATGTGAGGAATGCAGCAACACAGACAGCCCTCTGCAGCCCGGTGGGCAGGGAGCTGTTTGCAAGGAGCCCGCAGATCCAGCCCCTGTTTTGAGACAAACTGCACTCAAAGGCTACAAGGAAGGGAGCTCAGCCTTCTTCCCTATTTTGATAACATTCCAAAACATCAATTTGCTGTTAATTAAAGGTTGTTTGAATCCTAGGAAACTGTTAAAATATGCCAGCTTTCCTCTCCTCTGGAGGCAAGCAACAGACTGTAGAAGCCTGATGGTGAGACTCCAGGAAGCCTTAGGAAAACAAAACGTAGCGAGGTGTTTTCCTTAATCACAGAGAAGAATTGCAGGAGGCAGGAGACAGAGACAAGTGCACGCTTGTGCTGCCTTGGCATCTGGGCCATCTTGATTTGAGGACTGAGTAAGCTGAGGCCTAGTGCAGGCTATCTTCCCAGATCTCACGTTGGACACTGACCAATTGCTCTCAGCCAGGTACCTGACCATGACGTAAAACTCTGGAGCGCTTCCCCAATGACTTAGCTAATGCTTTTGGGGCAGAGACAGAGGGCTTCGGAAGAGGATTGCAGTACCAGCAAGAAAAGCCATCAGCATGGGATGTAATTAACCAGGCAGCAACCAGCAGCTCCCTGTGCCTAGGTTTGAAATCAGCTGGAGCCAAATTAGCACAAGCCTGCCTCTTCTCAGTATTTTAATTCTCTCTTGAAAAACTCTTCAAAAGAACGAGGCCACCAAGTGAAGCTCAAACCAGCAGAATTTGTTTTCAAAAACATTCAAGGAAAGAAACAGAGGAACAATGTTAGAATAAACAGAGATAAAAGCAAAATACAACAGATCCACATCTCCGGAGCGCACCGTAAACCTATTTTATTATCCACGGGTAACCTTTTCTAGAGAGGTCTTCCATAATCTTTTCTAGAGAGGTCATCCATAAGCCTTCTGTGATAAGCCTGTCATGAGTTTAGTTTGCTAAAACTTTCTCTTCAATAAAAAGTTAAAGAACCGAAATACAATTTTGGTTGGCCCCTCTTTAGAAATCTGGGAGGTAAATAAAAGTTTTGGTTAAAGTCTTGAAATATTGTTTACTCATGGAAGGATGTTGATATACCAGTATCTTCATTATCTTGTTTGAGCTTAATTAAGATCCTCCAAATTAGGTAAGGATTGACATCACATTATACTGCAAAGTAAGTTGATCCAATTCTTTACCTGTTTACACTGCTTCCACGGAAGCACACTGTACTTACGTAGCGGGTGGCTCTCTAACTTAGCGGGATTACAGTCTGCAAATACTTGTTTTACAAGTCTTCCTCATGTTCATGATATCCGAGGAAGCTGAGGAATAGCTTATGTTTTTATGTAGCACAGTGGGTAGCACAAAGAATAAAAATATATTGATTGAATTGCGAGGTAAATATATCCCCATCTTCCTCCAGGATACATATTCCATTTATATCCACACTTAGAGCTCAGGAGTCTCTCTCAGTACAGTAAATGGAATTTCTTCACAGGACATAAAAATACCAGATAAGACTCGTAAAACTTTGAAATGTTGGGAAAATTATGTGGGTTCACTTCATCTCCCACAGGTTTGAAGAGACAACCTATGGACCATAGGCAGCCGGAGGTCACGCGACTACATAATTTGCCACTCACTATGCAAGTTCAGGTGTGGTGAATTCTGTGGCTCTCTACCCAGGCCTCCCTTGGGAACTGCAGCACTCATTGGGGTATTGGTGAATTCTGTGTTATGCTACTCAGAGGCCCCATGGGAACTCGGCATTCATTGAGGTATTGGTGAGTTTTATGATGTGCTACCCAGAGCTCCCTTGGGAACTGCAACTCTCATTTGAGTACTGGTAAATTCTGTGGTGTGCTACCCAGAGCCCCTGTGGGAACTGCAGCGCTCACTGGCATTGGTGGCTTCGGATCCCTAACTAAGATCCTCTTCACAAATTGCTCTGAGCCAAAATGAAGGAACCAAATTGAGACTCCCCTTCCCCGACCGCCCACTGGCTTCTAAGAGTTCTCCCTCTTGACTCAAGTCAGGCCCTCTGATGCCCTCTCTCACCTCTAATATTCCTAACAGCATCTAAGATGACTTGATGCAACTGCATCTGAGTCTCTCTTCTTCCCAAATCTGTACCCCTCACTTCTCCTAGAAGGTGTGTCCAAAAGAACTCCCCGAAGCCCCAGAGCTCAATTCCAGAAGATCTTGACCTGTGCCACCTGGGTGTGACATCCGTTGTCCTAAATGAAATAAGAACTTACTTCTCTAAGATCAGTGCTTGCCTCCAAACCTACAGGATTGAAGTTGAGTCTCAAAGCCGAGGCCATCTCTAAAAGTGATCTCTATCTAAGGTTTCTGTTTATAAAATCTAAAGTAGCCCCCAAATATTTTACTTATTTCAATAAATTTTACTTATACCAATTTTACTTTTATTAGTAAATGCTTAGCAATACGTATATTATATCCACAGTGCAAATTCAAGCTGAAAATACTATATGTTTCATCCATAAAACATATAATTATGCTCCTTGAGAAAATGTTTATTTTGATTTATTTTAATTATTTGTATGTACATGCATATGTGTACATGAATACAGTGCTTGTGGAGGCCAGAAGGGGAAAATGGATCCCCTCACTCTAGAGTTATAGGTGGTTGTGAGCTGCCCTATACAGGTGCTGGGAACCAACCTTGGATCCTTTGCAAAAGTAGCAAGTGTTCTTATCTGTTGAACCAGTCAGCTGACAGATGACTGGGGCCTCTCAACATCACTGTTAAGTGTCATCCTTTTTATGTGGCCCAGAAGACAATGTCACACCCTTCCTCAGTCTGGTATATTCAATAAGATTTTAGGGATGTGAGGGTGATCTGGCTGTGACATCGGTCACTCCATTGATCGCCAGGGTTGATTTGGCTGATCTGGCTGGCTAGGTGGGTGTTCCCTTCCTCCCTCAGTGCTCCACATGCATCCCTCTGGAAGCTGCACACTTGGTCAAAGAGGATGGACGACCTTCCCCAATAGGGGAGGACCCATCTTCCCTCAAGGGTGTACGAGTAGCTGTGCTGCTTGTTAGAACCTCTAAACAAACTCTCAATAAGATTTTGGGCCTGGTTTTACTGATGTGGTTTTCATATGGTCAAGTTTTCTATGATCCTAATCTACTTTGATAAGTTTATCGAGTCGCACCATTTTTTACCTTCAGGCATAAGCTATCAATCTGAGCCTCATGGGTGCTGCTGGACATGGGGGTGATATTTATGTGTATGAACGGTAGGTACAGAGTCCTCCTGCCTGATTTTCACTCAAGAAAACGGAGCCAAATATTACATGTTAAGTGGAGTCCCTCAAGCAAGTCACAACCTGAAAACTTAGATTTTACATGGTATGGAGTAACTTGCGGCCAGGCACAAACATATCTGAAAACTTGAATTTCAAACTTTATCTGGTACTAGGTATTTCATATACAATTTTAATGGATACAGCTTTAGCACTATAAATTTTAATCAGCATGTCATAGGAATTAATATTCTTCCTTAACAATCTTTTTTTAATTTAAAAAGCATTCAATGAGCATGTGGTAGTTTGAATGAGTATCCCCATAGACTCTAAGTATTGGAAAACTTGGTCCCCAGTTTGTTGTGCTGTCTGGGGGAGGGTCAAAGAATGTTTAGGAGGTGTGGCCGAGCTAGAGGAAGCAGGCCATTGGGGGTGGGTTTTGAGAATTCCTAAGACTTGCAATTTCCTATCTCTCTCTCTGCTTCCTGTGCCTGCTTGAAGATGTTATCTCTTGGCTTTCTGTTCCCTCCACCTCTGCGGCCACACCTTCCCCACCAAGATGGACTCTTACTCCTGGAACTGTAAGCTCAAATAAACTCTTCCTTCTGTAAGCTGCCTTAGTCAGGGTGTTTTATCACATCAAAGTAACTAACACAGAGGGTCTGTAGAGGTGCCCCAGGGGTTACCATTGCATACTGCTCTTGCAGATGACCAAAGTCATCACTATCACCTGTAGCTCCAGGTCTAGGGGGCATCCAAAGCCTCTGGCCCACGAAGGCAACAACATAAACGTGTACATACCCCACCACACACAAACACATCATTAAGAATAATATAAATAAATCATTTTATGAAAGCATCTAGTGAGCACAGAGCCCTTACATTCACTGAACAAGGTACAGGGCAGGGGAGGTGGACAAAGCTCCTGCACAGGGAGGTCTCTGCCCCTCCCATTCCCTCCTCCTGCATCTTGTCATGCGCATCTCTGCTATTGCATAGTCGAAAATCAGAACTACAGAGCAAGCACATGAG